ATAGGAGATGTGCATGATAAAAGTGTTTGGTTATACACAGCATTAAGATTTTTGATTTCAGATTTGATTAGAGCATTCATCTTTTTAAGTTCTAACTTATCTTTGAGTTTACATAATGTTTCTTTTTGCCTGCGAAGTTGTTTGAGATGAGGAGACGAGAAGCGGTCGAGGCGTTAGAATAGTATTTGTTTGGGACAGCATATGTCAAGACAGAACTTGAGATAATCCGTTATATTGGAGACTGTGTCATCTAATGTACTTTCATAGAATAAATCCCAGTTAGTATTTTTTAACATGCATCTTATATTGAGTAGGTTGTCAGATGTGAAGCATCTTTGTTGTGCTTTCATAGACAGGTGTGAGAAGACTTTAATATGTGTTTTGCTATACATTTTTGGTAAAACACGGACAATGCAGTGATCGGAGTTAAGTATCGGTGAACGTCTACGTGTTTCATATACTCCTTCGTCATTAGTAAAAACTAGATCGAGTGTTTCGTCAAGTCAAGTTGACTCCTTTGGATAAAACGCACATCGAACGACCTATATGTCTTGCTTCACATGAGCAAGTAAATTGATAAGCATATGCGATAGTTTATCTTTGGAGTTGTTGAATAACTGTGGGCGGCTTGAGAATACCAATCGCAATGTAGCGGCAGAGAATATTCTTTTCAGGGCATTAGATATCCTTCTCTTCAAGATATCGGCCAGAAGGTCGCTTTTGAATGCCACATTTATGTATAACATTTTCGGCACAGAGATGGGTTATTCTTGATTGATTTTCAGGTTTGTATCTTTAACTATAAAGCGTGGTGGATAGTCATTCTCAAGTAGTGTCTTCCTCGAAAGAGCAATCTCCTCTTCTGATTCGGGGCTGGGGATTCTACGGATTCCAGTCGCAAGAGATATTGTCGTGTTCCGCTTGAGATTGGTGAGGACCTAAATGCAAACGCTTGTCAACCGGCCGTAGAATTTACATATATATATATATATATATATATATATATATATATATTTAACTTTGTCTAGTAATAAATACATTTCTATGTACTGTGAAAAGTGCTGTCCATGAATAAAGCATCCTTCTAAACAATACTGAAGCATATTCTTACATTCGAGATTATGTCGCGCATTTCTTCAATAGTAGGAATGAAGATAATCCATTATCTATTGATTATAAGAATACAGAATACGAGGGAATCCCGCTCAAAGAGTACGAATCAAACCTCTTCTTACTTCAGAAGCAATGGCGATTCACATGTTTAGCCCTGAACTCTGCATGCAAAAGAAGTTTGTTCAGTCATTAAATCTACAATGGATCTGATCAATCTCAACATCAAGTATGTAAGATTATAGGTTTCCAGACCGTAGGTGTTACGAATTTCCTGGAATAATTTGTGCGCCGAGTCAGATTGATTCATTATAAATTATTTAAATTAATCCCAGCGTGTTAAGAAAATCAAAACAAGATTTTTCTGAAAGTTTCGCCGTGTAAGCCACAGCTTCTTCATCAGATTTATTCGGATTATAATTAATCATCAAAATATATAGTCAAAAAAATCAAGTATGTAATTTTTATTTTTTGCAACTTAGTTGTATTCTTTTCCTCCCCCACCCCTATTAAATCTCCACCCGTTATATATATATATATATGCGGTTGTACAGCTTGATAATGATATTGCTTAAAAGAGTAACTCTTCACTGAATACCTTTTCTTTTGAATTCATCATTTGTACATTTCCTCAGTGGTGAGTTACTTATACCCTTCGTATTGTGTCTCTTCGTCTTTTTTCGTATCCACGATGTTTTCTCCAATACTGGTTCATTTTGTCCTCTTTGACGCCAAATCTATTACTCCGATATTTGATAATATCTGATATACTACCGATACATCTTGTCAGTAGCACACACCACACTTGTCCTCCTATCAAGTGGTTTCGAACAGAGCCGCTCCAAACTTCTTGGTTCTACCCCTTACTGTTTTCCTTATCGTCCCAGCTTCCTTATCTCACTGTATCCATTTCTTCAATTGACTGATCACAACCCGTTTCTGCTTACCTCCTCTTTTGATGGTATAAACGGGACCATGTATCTCGTTAACAGTGTATGGCCCTTCCCACTTCAGGAGGGGATTCCGTGAAGCTGACCCGCATCTAACCGTCTACCCTCTTTTGCTACACTTTACTTGATCGCCCACCTCAAGGGTTGTGCATCCCATATTTTCTCCCTGTTCAAATATCAATGTGTCGAACTACCACGTCAGTCATGGTTCTCGGGCGTTGATCAGGGATCACGAAGGCGCCTACCTATTGTGAGGCGTATTCAGTCATCACCAGAACGTAGTGGTTGCCACTGGATGTATGTGGAGATGGACTCATTACATTTACGGACTACAAGTCACCTAATACCTGTACTGGGATCGACTTTAGAGGCAGTCGTATGTTTCTATCTGCTTTCATCAACTGGCACTGAGGACATCTAGGTGCACATTTTGCCACATCTTCTCTCATACTTGGCCAGTACATGCTTTTTTCAGGAGATCGGTTGTTCTCGCCACTCCTGTATATGCTAGCTGGTGACATTCTTGTATCATCTCATGTCGCAGAGACTAAGGTATTATCGCCAACCAGTTTCCATCGTTCTCTCGTCAAGTCAGAGTCCCGTAGGCGTTCACTCGTAGATTTCGGTCTGAGTAGCGCGGTCAGATCCTCACTCACCATAGGTTGATTCACTTCTAATTCGTTAGTGATCACCTGTATGACTGTATATAGGGAAGAGACTAATTCCTGAATTCAGACAAGTCTTAATGCATCTTCTTCCAAAGAATGCACTCCATTAACAATCTCTGGCAACTCAGCTTCGTCTTCCAGTCTAGATACAAAGTCTGCCAAAAACGTTTCTTTGCCGGGGACGTGTGAGATCGGGAAGTCATACTCCTGCAGTCACAGCATCCATCGCGACAGTTTCACGCATGGGTCTCTCGCTATCCTTAGAAATTGAGGCGGCTTGTGACCAGTTTCGATTTGGAACAGTTGGTCCAGGAAATGTGATCTCCATTTGTCTACCTCCCATACTATTGCCAAACATTTTTTCTTTATCGTTGAATACTTCTGTTATGTGTGTGTTAAAACATGCCTGGCATACTCGACAATTCCTTCATCTTGTCTAATTATTGTACCTATGCGTAGCCACTCGCAGCTTTACACACTTTGAACTCTTTTCCGGGTACAGGCAGTTTTGGTGTCATTTTTTCGTGGTATAAAAGCCGATTATAGCTGTTGAATATCTTTTATGAATCTTCCAATCAAACAAACTTCAACTCACCTAATAGCCTGTACTGGCGGGCTGCTATCTCATTGAATTTTTTAGAAAATTGACTATAAGACGCTACTGTCCCCAGGAACTGTCTTAGCGTTCTCCTGGAACTCGGGGGAGTAAGGATCTTTTTCATCAGGATTTTCTCTGGCAGTGGTTTTATTGCATCGTTTTCTAATTTATGAACCAGCAGCGTAACACTCCATTCGTCTATCAGTGTGCAGTCCAAACTCTTGAGTGCGTTTTAACACGGCCTGGACAATATTCATATGGTCGCTTGCGTTTCGACTGTAGATGATGAGGTCATCACCGTGTACCTCCACATTCTTCGAATTTCAAAGTAACAACATCATCAGTCGTCTGAAAGTAAACGATGCAACTGCTAGTTCAAACAGCATGCATTTAGACCAATACTGATTCGGAGCCACGATGAACGCCATCTTATCTCTGTCGCTCCGTTTTACCGGTATCTTCCACTATCCTGACCAGAGGTCCAGCAGTGCAGACAGATTCGCGCTTTGTGAACAATACAAGGTCTCCACTACAGTTGGCATAGCACGCGGTTTCAGCTCTGTTATGATGTATAGTTGTCTGAAATCAACGCAAAATCTGCACCTCCCATTCGTTTTCTTCACTAAAACAACTGAAGAGTTATACAGGCTGTTGGCTTCTTCAATAATATCATCCTGTAATATCTCCTTCACTTGTCATCCAGCTTCTAAGTGATATGGGATGTGAATGGTGCCATCCTGCGACCGCTCAGTGGGATTTCATGTCTAACCTTATCATAATAACCCTAGAGGTCACCATCTCCAGTGAACACATGACAGTATTCTTTAACTAACACTGTCATATTCTGTACTTTCGACGCCTTAGCACCTGGTATCTCGCTTGTCTCATACTTATTGATAGGTCCGTACTTCGTTCCTTTCCTTCAAATTGGTTACCGCACCAACCTCTCTCAAAAAATGAGCGCCGAGTATTGTTCATCGTAAATCGGACTCAACAGTGAACGGGTATGTTACTTTGCGGTTGGCAAAAAACGCTACAATTTGACACGCTAGCAATGCTTAACACGTTTCCTCCTCCCGTATGAACTGTTAATGAACACGTCGGACGTTCTGACAAAGATTCCTATCAATTCATGAGACTGCCGTCCCTGTATCTATTAAACGTACTACTTCTTGAGTACTCACTCGCAACTTAGAAAACATGATCCTCCTCTTGATAGCCCCCACTACTTCTAGTCTTATAGGAGAGATAGAATACACATTTTACTGTCTGAAATTTTTCCTTTTTCTTCTTTCTGGGCAGTACATCCCCCAGTGTCCTGCTTTGCCACATTCAAAGAATTGATCTTTCCTGGCACTTCCTCGCTGATCTGTTAGTTCACGCTGCAAATCTGTGTTATTCTGTTCTCATTCTTTCGATTTCAGTGGCGTTATTGCGGCTATCGTTGTGCCCAGCAACTGTCTGATCACCTTGACATCAAATCTATCTTTCCGCTATTTGATATTTTTATGGCAATGAACATCTCTTATGTGCTACTGATAAATCCTGTTAGTAGCACACGCCCCATAAGTTGCAGGATATAAAACTCACCCTATACTGCCGTTCTGTTTTTCTCTTTACTTACAAATCCATAATTTTTTATAGTAATTTTAGATCATTGTAAAATATTAATGGTAATTTCTTCATATTAATTTCAAAAAGTGCTTTGATTACTTTTAATTGTCAAATAGGTTATTCAAATTTAGATGAACATTTATTTTACTCCCTTGAATCCGATAAAGTCTCAGGGATAAACAAAACAAAATTTGTCACTTTTAGTAGTATTTTATATGTAAAATTATCACATTAACTGTCTAATAGTCTTGAAAGGAGAACAAAATCATATTTTTTTTATCCAATTTTCTGGTTGTAACACTTTTACTCATGCCAAAATTCTGAAATCAACATTAACCAAAGTGTATATATCCTCGTAGACTGTTGGACCCAGGGCTTCTAGGGTGATATCTTTTGCCGAATCTAATGTAACGTTTGTCTGGTACAACTTCATGACTCATGAATTCACGTGTATTACGAATCGGTCCATATAAGCTCTCATAAAAGTCTAGATAAATGAAAAAAATATTGAAAATTGGACTGAACATGTATTTCGTTAAAATGCTTAGACTTTTAAACAACTCAGATGGATGACGTAATCTTTCGAAAACACTCTTCATTACACCGGCTCAAAGTTGTAGCCTTACTACAGCAACTAATTCAATGAAGTCAAGACAATTTTAATTGGGTTGAAAAAGAATTAATCCACGATCTATAATTCAAGTAGAAAAAAATTCTAGCTAGATAACTTCAGCTTAGTTTCACTTGTGAAGATTGTTTCTGTAGTTCACAGTAAGAGTAAATTAATCAGCAACTGTTGTTAAGAGTCACAGAACCAATTTGACTTACCGAGAATCTAACCAGAAAACTCTGAAAGTTTAACACTTGGGGTTTTCTGAGGAATGTTTAGTAAAGTTTTTTTCGCTTTACAGTTTTGTCAGGCTTTTATTCTTTCAAGCAGTGGTGTAGTAACTTTGACACCATTACTAGTGTCTCACGAGTAGTTTCCCATGGAAGGAATAAATCACTAAAAATGTTCCACAGAATTAGCAAATTACACCCCTTAAATTAATTTGAAATAATTTTTACAAATGGCGCATTTTTATTATAACTTCTGTTGCATATTGACTTCTTTTCTTCAACAAGTGAATTCGGGGAAAGTGAAAACTAATAAGTGCGTACAATTATGGCTTTTTTAGAACAGTGTTTTAACTCTAATACTTTGACAGTATATATACTTTTGACTGGACACTAGTCAATAACTATTGTAATGTGTCTAGTCCTATCTTTGGTGCAGACTGAATTCTATCAGTCAAGCTTGTAATGTGGCCAACATGCTAAGTGGCTGGCCATCATAGCGCACTGTGAATTGTTATTACTAGATGGTTGGGGCAGTCGCCAATCGGCAGGAACCTCAGAAGGTGAATGAGTTCCTTCTAGGTTGCACATCCGCCATGCTGATGAATGCCACCTAGCACCTCTAACCATCTAACACAGTATATATAAATATATGTGTATATGACACGTAGTGGATGTTAACCTGGAAATTCTCTTCAATCGCTCCAATAAATAGCTTCTATAAATCCATAGCACAATTCTAAAATTTCCTGACAAAATTGAGGGAAGAAAGTATAAGCATAGTCTGTTTAGTAATTCTCTTCCTGACAGTCAGGTGATAGGACAACCTAAACGAACGTTTAAATAGTTAAAACTGATTAGACCACGATATCTCTTCAAAGCACACTTATAATGAAACGGCAAACAATGGACTACGAATGTGGACATATAACTTTCTTCTCATTCGTCAAATAAACCAGTTAATAGGATGCGTTCAAATAATTAGCTACTTTTTTCCTCATACAACTGTAGGTGAAATGTGATCTAACTATTTTATCAACCATGTTTCACTGGATTAGAGAACAGAAAGAATTCATAATAAAAACATTTCCATTAATCATAAATGTCTGATATTTATTTTCAAGAGTTGATTTGTAAGGATTAGATTTGTTTTTCGAGTTGTACCAAACTAGGATGAAACAGCTGTCCAGTACTCCCTGATTTTCAATGGTTGTCTAACCCTTATAAATCGACTCCTGAGAATAATTCTGATGCTCGCTAGTGACTTGCTACAGGACGCTGTTTCCTGGAGTTCTAGTGAGAAGTCGTGACCAATGAGGTCCATCCAGTCAAGTGTGAGGATGGATTTCCTCCCGATGACATTGGTTGTTGGTCGCGCTAAATCACTAATTGGTAGAAGTTAGAATTCATGTACTGGCCACTGGATCGGGTCCCAGAGGCTTAATGGTCTACGAGCTTGCCTTGTAACCAAGAAGTCCTGGGTTCGAACCCCTGTGGGTCCGTATTGCCGATGATTCCCAAAAACTAGGATGAAACAGCTGTCCAGTACTTCCTGTTGGTTTCAATGGTTCTCTAACTGATATTTATTTCAATATAGGAAAAAATATCCATTCAGACATCTATAAAACACAAAGTAATTGAGCCAAGAATATCCTTTTCGATAAATTCCTCTTCTGGCTCTACAATTATATATATGATTACACACATAGAATATTCTAGATTAGTAGTCAATGTCAATATTAGAGTTTTTTAAATATTATCTATTTGTAAAGTAAGATGAATGCAATTACAGTTCATTAAAGATGCTTAAATAATAATAATAATAACGATATAGTAGCAAATAGAATATCAACCAAAATTAGGAAAATTCTATTTGCTACTATATCGTTATTATTATTATTATTATAATTTAAGCATCTTTAATGAACTGTAATTGCATTCATCTTACTTTACAAATAGATAATATTTAAAAAACTCTAATATTGACATTGACTACTAATCTAGAATATTCTATGTGTGTAATCATATATATAATTGTAGAGCCAGAGGAAAAATTTATCGAAAAGGATATTCTTTGTGATATTTATTTCTTCAAAGTTTTGTGATTCTAACGGTGAAAATCCCGGTGCATAAATTTTAAGTGAAAAATAATTACCAAGATGTATTTGTAGTTTTATAGAGTGAACAAATAAACTCACCTTCTTCTGATGGTAAACTGCTGACGTGAACCAGCAACAGGCCAAAAATCACAGGTAATAGCATATGTAATACTGAATACATATTCAGCTTTTAATTAAGTTAATTCAGTCCACAAGAAACTGAACTAAAAGCATTAAAAAATTTCTGCTAAAACTTGGTGATAAAAACAAAACTTTTTCTATAATGGTTAAAAGTAATAATTTATGAAGTGATTCAAGTGTATGACATTTTACAAGCTTTCTAAACGCATGTTAGTAATGTCTAACTAAAATCATTTTTTAACACATCATAAATGTTTGCGTAATGATATGAAAATAAATCACAGCTAAAAAAAGCCAATGTAAGTGTCTTTTAATTTACTTATAGTTATCATTATTTTGATGATGAAATGACGACAGGAGTAATTCTTATTAATTAGCTTTTACTTCGCTGTAGTTTCAAAGTAATTTTGTAGTCTGTATTAACTGGGCACCTTTCGAAATTCAGTGGTCTTTAATCTAAATTAATAACTGTTGTACAAATATTGAATAAACAACAACCGCTTTCGCAATTATGAAATTTAAGAAAATAGAAAACAGTTTATATACTCCTCTTCAATAATCAAAGATTTCAAATAACAGCTTTAGAAATCACCGAAAGGTAACTGGACTTCGGAATTCCCTTGTGTAGCCTCAAAGAATTTCTCCTTAAATGCACCGTGAACGTGCATTTTGTCTTCAATAATTCATATTACCAACGAGTAAATGAAATAGCTATGGGTTCATCATAAGGCCACATATTAGCTGACTTCTTCCTCACAAAACTTGAAAACAGGGGATTGAAAGACGTCACCAAGGGGTTGGATATTTATTACCGTTATGTCGATGATACATTTATCTTAACTGATAGGAATGCAAACGTAGATGAACTGTTGGTGAAATTCAACTACATCCACCATTCGCTTAATTTTACTTGTGAAGAGGAGCAGGATAGTAAACTACATTTTCTGGACGTCTTCTTAAGTAGGCAAGAAGATGCGTCACTTGAGAGAAGTATGTATAGAAAAACATATTCATAGGCAATACACACACTTCCTTAGTTACGTGCCCAAGAAATATAAAGAAATGCCCCTTAATAAATAAAGTTACAATTTAATAGTGACTTATCAAGTGACCTTTTATTCCGGTGAATTTCCAGGAGTATACGAAGAACGCTTTGCGTAGCATACGTATGTTTGTCATTCTCTAGCCGACGAATGATTGGGAAGCAAACAGAGGATAAGCTTTACAGGTTTGCCACATCTATGTGTATTTATCAATTCAACTGCACCTGCTGTGACAGTTACGTTGGGCGTACTACTAGACGGCTTAGCCGACGTGTTAGTGAACATTTCCCATCGTGGTTTGGCAAAGGACAGACAAAAACAATCCGTAGCTCAATTCTGTCACATCTAATTGATAGTGGTCATGTATTGGAGAAAACGAGAGCTTACAAAGTAATTCATCGTATCTCACGGAATCTTTCTTATAGACGTCGTATGTTTCTACTGCACAAAGATGAGGCGATAGGCATTCGAAATATTAAACCTAAACTATGCATCCAAAAGAATTTCGTGCGGCCATTATCCCTCCCTTGACCTATTAAGGCATAACCAACTCATCACTTCTCCACCACCCCTTACTTATATTTTCAATCCTTCTCTTATCATCTCTTAATCTCAGCACATATTCACTAAAACGTATTTTACTTACATCCCGTACAATCCGGCGTTACGTATTCAGTTCATTTGTTTTTTAGCCTTTATCGACTACTTCTACTTGAACATTTGTTTGTTTAACCGTGTTGTTTTTCGTTATTCTTGTTATCCCAGATTGTCCAACTTTTTCATCCTTATTATTGATGTAGCCATTACTATAATGATTACTACTATTATGACTAATTGCACAATTTATATGCACAATCTTGTAGTCCTGTTGACAAAATACCGTAATTGGTTTATATTTGAATTTTTATCAGTAGAGTTATGTATATTATTTTATTTACTTATTTTTTAATTTTTATATAGCTTGACTCCACACCGTATTTTTGGTACAACTATGGAATTTTCAGCATGTGATATCGGTAGCCCAAACTTTGCAAGCCGACCACTGATATCGGATGTTCGTCGGCAAGAGTCCTAACTGCTGATGAGATCTAATTGAAAACAATATTGTTCGCGTAAATGTATAGTTCTAAATAGTTTACATGTTTAAATATGCCAAAAGGGTCAGTCAGCAAGAAGTTTCAAATTTTTGCATTCATTAGCGTTTAAATGAATATGAATTGGATGACCTTGGCGGCCTGTTTGAAAATTTTGGGCTACCATATTTCATGTACATTTTGCATCTATTTACTCATATTTTATTGGTGTTTACATACCAAATTATGCATTCTTATCGTATTATTCACTCCCGGGATTTTATAAAACCATTTAAACCCAAAAGCTTTCATATTTGCAATAAACTCAAGAAAAACCACCATGGTGGTTGGCAACGTGCTTTAAAATCTACACCCATATATCACACCACTGTTTCGGTTATCATTAGTAGCAACTGCCAGTCCCTGCCTAACAAAATTCTGGATTTTCAGTTCCTGCTGTCGTCTGGAATTCACCATTCTACAAGAAACCTGGATCCATGACACATATGATGACAATATAGTGTCTCTCAATGATTTTAATGTATTCTGACAAGACCGTGTTTGTTCCAGGAGAAAATGTGGCCAAGGTGTTGCAGCTTTTATTCACTCAAAATGGTCCATTTCTAACAAATTTTGTTTCAAATTCTCGAATGACTGCATTGATTACATCACTGTGAGATGTCGCCCGAAACACTTGTCAAAATACAAATTCATTTATATTTCTAATGTTTATATCTCTCTTGGCTGTACCGTATCGGATTTATCTACGTCCGCTGATGAATTCACCGCGTTTGCTGCAGCTTGCTTCGAGAACTCCTTATCAATAGTAACTGGTGATTTTATTCCATGCAATCACTCCTTTCTTATATCACTTGGTCATGACAATATTGTTAACTTTGCTACCCGTCTTGGTAAAACACTGGATCTAGTATTTATCAATGATGTTGGTATATATGCAGCTCGCAAACGTGCTCCTTTACTTAACTCTGACCATTGCATCATACGTGTACTGCCTAAAATATATTCCAGATCACACAAACGTGTTCTCTCTCACCTCTACAGTAAAGTTCAACGGAGATGCTACTCACAAGACAACCTAGACAAGCTCAGATGCATGTTGAAAGACACTAACTGGGACTTGTTTACAGAACAAACATTAGATGACACAATCACAAACACTACTGATTATCTTAAATTCTGTTTCGAAATATGTTGTCCTGAAGAAACATTATTCATTGATTTGACCGTTTCTCTTCACCATATCTCAAAAAGCTACGTAGAGATAAAAAACTGTTGTTCAAAACAAATGATAAGCCTGGTGTAAAAAAGTTAAATACTCTGATAAAACTCGAAATGCAAAGACTAAATGTTTTATATAATCAGATTCTTGTCATGTAAAATCCCTTCTAATTTGTGGAAACTTTTCAAAGAAATTACCAGCGTTAAGCGATGTACCTCTGTCCAATCTCTTAACGTCAACTCTCTTAATAAGTCTTTCATACGCTCTTCTGTTGATATCCTTCCTAATGATACAAATCATACAGACAATAATTATAATGGTTTTAATACCTTTGATGTGCTTAAATGTCTCCGGTCTCTTAAGCCTTGGTCCTGATGGCGTACCTGCCATTGTCCTTAGAAATTGTGCTGATATTTTGTGTTGCCCTCTTACTAACATTTTTAATGCTTCCTTTTCCGGTAACGTTCTACCTTTTGCATGGAAAACATTAAAATTATCCCTATACCAAAACCATCTTCTGGTACTGATATTAAATTTTGGCCTATTGCAATTACTTCCCCCTTTTTAAAATTGATGGAAAAATTACTTTTACTTCGTCTTGAACCCGCATTGAAACTTTTTAATGATCCTAAACAATCTGCATACAAACATGGTAGAAGTACCTTGGATGCTGCGGTTGTCTTATATCACAATGTTGTTTCTTATTTAGACAAAGGTGCCAAATATGTTCGTAGTGCTTTCTTAGACTACACTTCTGCTTTTGACTCTGTACCTAGGGGCATTTTATTTAATAAGCTATCGTTGACACAAACAGGATCCTGGGCTAAGAGTTGGTTGCATTCTTATTTTTCTGATAGAATGCAGTATACTGTATATAATGGCAAATCTTCTCCTACTTCGCTTAACATAACATAACATAACATAAGCTTTATTCCAAATCAGTACTTGTGATACAGAATGGAATTCTCAGCATTTTACTACAATATTGCATCCAGTTTTTTACATTAACAATAAATAAAGTTCTACATAGATTAAAGTTATCTCAACAACATATTAGTATGTCGGTAGCAAAGCCAAAATTAAAGTGTCTGAAGGTGTTAGAAAAGTAGATACTACTAGCATATTTACTGGCGTAAGCGATAGCAAAATGGTCGAGATATACAGAGTGTGAAAGAACGAACAAGAATGTTTTAAGTAGAGTTTGCAAGGAAGAGAGAAACAAAACAGCACATAACAAAAATAAAATACAGAATGAAGAGCGAGAAAACGTTGTACCTATAAATGATGTGAGTTGGAAAGACGAGATCCAGTTGTTCTACTGACTATTTAATAAGTTAAAGGTTTCATGCCTGATGCAGTCTTTATCGCACAGAACACGGGCTAGGTAGGGTATGGATGAGTTTTTGTACTTACTAGTGCGGGCATATAGTTTCCTATATAGGCTTCTTGTTTTCCCTGAAGAGATACATGGGGAGAGTTGTGAATGTAGAGGGTGTTGTGAGTCAGATAAAATGGATTTCGCCCATTTTTCACATGAGTCCATATGCCTGTCCACCAGAATATTAACAAGCTGGCTAAGTGGCACGTAGCTTACCCTGCTGACAACCTTTAACATCCTGTGTAATAAGGTATAGTCTTTCTTCAATAGCCCAGGAAAGACTAAGGGGGAGCAATAGAGAATAATAGGCAGAATACGGGAGTTAACGAATTGTAGGAGTAAGGGTTGG